TGATAATCTATATACACAGATCAGCCATAACATTATGACCACTGACAGGTGAATAACACTGATAATCTATATACACAGATCAGCCATAACATTATGACCACTGACAGGTGAATAACACTGATAATCTATATACACAGATCAGCCATAACATTATGACCACTGACAGGTTAATAACACTGATAGTCTATATACACAGATCAGCCATAACATTATGACCACTGACAGGTGAATAACACTGATAATCTATACACACAGATTATCATACACAGATTATTATACACAGATTATTGCATAATTACAGAAGAAGGTTTACACACTCCCAACACTGTCATGCATGATTGATCATTAGCTTCCCATAAGAAGTACAACAATATTTCAGATCCAAAGCTCTACATCACACAGCTATATAGAATAAAAGCTAAGTAAGCAGCCAACACTGATATAACTTATATGCAAACACCAAAAACAACACCAAGTTTAATAATCACTATTTATACGGAACTGTAAGGTGTGACAGCACAATTCATGTGAGGTACCAATGTAACACATGGATGCTGCTGTTGAGTGCGTGTGTGTGTGTGTGTGTGTGTGTGTGTGTGTGTGTGTGTGTGTGTGTGTGTGTGTGTGTGTGTGTGTGTGTGTGTGTGTGTGTGTGTGTGTGTGTGTGTGTGTGTGTGTGTGTGTGTGTGTGTGTGTGTGTGTGTGTGTGTGTGTGTGTGCATGAGTTAGTATCAACCAGACACGCATTTTTCATAAGCTTTGGACATCATATGACAGTTACAGAGAAGAAATAAAGACACTTAGTCGACTTCTACCGCAGCTGGTGACATGACAATGGATGATGAGTGAGCAGAGATACTAGACATATGGAGTTAATGGCATAATACAGCACAATGTTAGCATGGATGATGAGTGAGCAGAGATACTAGACATATGGAGTTATTGGGATAATACAGTACAATGTTAGCATGGATGATGAGTGAGCAGAGATACTAGACATATGGAGTTATTGGGATAATACAGTACAATGTTAGCATGGATGAGTGAGCAGAGATACTAGACATATGGAGGTAATGGGATAATACAGTACAATGTTAGCATGGATGAGTGAGCAGAGATACTAGACATATGGAGTTAATGGGATAATACAGTACAATGTTAGCATGGATGATGAGTGAGCAGAGATACTAGACATATGGAGTTATTGGGATAATACAGTACAATGTTAGCATGGATGATGAGTGAGCAGAGATACTAGACATATGGAGTTATTGGGATAATACAGTACAATGTTAGCATGGATGATGAGTGAGCAGAGATACTAGACATATGGAGTTATTGGGATAATACAGTACAATGTTAGCATGGATGAGTGAGCAGAGATACTAGACATATGGAGGTAATGGGATAATACAGTACAATGTTAGCATGGATGAGTGAGCAGAGATACTAGACATATGGAGTTAATGGGATAATACAGTACAATGTTAGCATGGATGATGAGTGGGCAGAGATACTAGACATATGGAGTTAATGGGATAATACAGTACAATGTTAGCATGGATGATGAGTGGGCAGAGATACTAGACATATGGAGTTAATGGGATAATAGAGTACAATGTTAGCATGGATGATGAGTGGGCAGAGATACTAGACATATGGAGTTAATGGGATAATACAGTACAATGTTAGCATGGATGATGAGTGAGCAGAGATACTAGACATATGGAGTTAATGGGATAATACAGTACAATGTTAGCATGGATGAGTGGGCAGAGATACTAGACATATGGAGTTAATGGGATAATACAGTACAATGTTAGCATTCACTCAGATCACTCTTCCCCTGGTCAAACGCTTAATATGCTATAGCGTCTTCAGTAATTTATCCATCTATCATTATTATCTCTGTTTGTCATCTAAATATATCAATTCTTTATATCAATTTATTTTAATCTATCTATATCAATCACAAGTTATCATGTTATCCATATGCAGACATTTGAACAGCTGCATTTGCAATGCTGTTATCAACTAATGCAATTGTCTTAGCAAAGCTAGCACCATTTCCTATAGATAGCTGCTACACAATGCTATTTTCTGCTAAAATACTAGCCACAATAATTTTGTGACTTACCGCGACAAACTTTTTCAAAAGTCATGGATATATTTAAAAAGTAAATTCCAACTTTGTGTACTTGATATATTTTTTCGACTTCTAGTAGCAACTCTATATTATTTTCCGTATAAAATAGTGACATTACCGTGCATAACTCACATCAGCCAGGCCATGGCGCACTGTCCTACCTCAGTACGCATTCTCTCTGAGGCAAATTCCCATGATGGAGAAACGCTGTTCATACTTCAAAGTAAAGTCCCAATGCTTAGGAATCAACCATAGCTTGTTCAGTAGATATCAGTTTTGATTTGATGACGAAACTGGCACTCAAGAGAGGTGACCTCTACAGGGTTGCCCGCAAACTTTATGAAGCTAGAGGCAGCAACGAGCCAGATCAGGTTTAAGTATATTATTGTGCATTGAATTTAGATTGAAAATGACCAGAGCATGAACATTTTTGTTGATCAAAGTGATTAGGAGATTAATGTTGCGAAGCATTTTGTCCTGGCGGTAAAAACTATTTGTGAGTCTGGTAATTGCATTTCCTGATGCTTCAGTATTGTCTACAAGACAATATCAGTTTGAACCGACTGGATGGCTATAGTCTTATGATGCTTTCTTAAGGCATCGCATATCATTGGCTGCCATGTACAGAAGGGAAGCCAACGATATGTTCTGCAGACCTAACCACCCTCCAGATGGCCTTGGGATCAGCAGCAGTGAGTCAGCTGCCTACCAGACTCTCGTACCAGGCATTAATACAGAGGACACTCTCAATGGTACATCTGTAAAAGCTGCTGACAGTTTGTGTAGACACCCCAAACTTCTCCAGTCTCCTTATGAAGTATACACACTTTTGGATAGTTTTGCCACTGAGTTTGCTTGACTTTGGTTTTAAATGTAAGACTGCCTTTTTATATCACCTCATACTTTTGCTAATAGTACCAAAACAATGAAAGAAGAAAAAGTGGAAAGGAATTACATGCCATAAGGTTAGATACATTTGTTTGATTTCCTATTAATGTGTTACTCAGGTATGTGCTTCCTGCTTCGACTAGAGCGTTGACAACATGTGACACTCAGTGACCACAGGTTGATACACTGTCTGCTCCAGACTGTCAAACTCTGTGATCTGCTGGAATAAAACCTGCCTCTGTTCCTGTCCTGGGAACAGTTCTCTGTGTGATTAACATCTGCTCTGCACACTCGTTGCCTTGAACCTGTATCCAATAATTACTAGGCCAATCTCATGTGAATCAGTGATTGGAGTGTGGTGGTGATCGCTAATCCATTTATTCTGAATCACTGAATACTCTTTAAAAGTGCTTGGTGAAACTGGAAATCTAATAAAGGACCCATAATGAAATTAATTCATATCCCAACGCTGAAGAGGGCCTTTCTAAATATAACCACTCAGAATTAAAGATTGCTGTGTTTGAAAAAGATTAAGCCTACTGGCTCCATTTCTCTACACAAGACACACATTAATTTTTCCGGTTATTGAAAATCCTTTGATTAATGAAATCATATTAGCGTCACATTATATCTGAGGCTTGTCACACATATTTTACATACGGTATTGTGACAGTTTATCCCAAGCCTTTACTAACTTTATCATACTACATGTTATGAGGAGAGTGAGTGCTGGAGACTGTGGAGTGGAATAATAATGTTGTTTTTACATTCCTGTGTAGACGACAGACACAATCTCTGACACTCACTAACTCCGACTTAGTGCCCTAGTTTTACCCAGAGGCCACTGTCAGGCGTTGTGCATTTGGGATACCAACAGGTTACTAAGTGTGGTGACGTTTGAGGCGACATGTTTCGTTAACACTTTGGCCGTGGCATATCTGCAGCGGACCAGTGGAACAGCAGGTTGTGGTTATTTATTTGGGTCCTGGTATTTTGCCTTTGGCATCTGGTTAAATAAATGACAGCAGAACCCCCCCCCCCCACCTCTAAAAGAGCCTTTCAACTTTTCACACCTTTCAAACAGTTTTCAGAGGCATGCAAAGCACATTTGATCCACTTGACAGGGGAAGTCAGGCTGACCTTACAAATTGCCATGGGCAACAGTACCACCCACCATTGCAGAGGCTGGATTCTGGCTCCTCCCTCTCACACAGTGTTGGGGAATATTCAGAATCATGCATGTCTAGGATGTTCTACAGCTGTTGCTTCATTACTTGGCTATAAATGTTCTTGACAGGGCCCCAAATCTCAATGTCTGCCAATCTAATTGGATATTGCTCTGGAACAGAACCATGTAGGAAGATTTGGTAAAGGCCATTTAAAAGAAAACAGTCAGAATTTTGTGGAAAGGAAAAACTTGGCTGATGTAAATACAATATTATCCTATGGCGTCATCGTTGCCATTAGCAGTCCTTTCAATTGCAAATAAAACAGTCTGTGTTTTAGCTATTATATATATAGCTAAACGGAAAACGTTGTTAGAAAGGGGAGAGTCTAACCTTTATGCACAATATAAGCATGTAGTATATTTCGCAATCTTTGTGTAGAGGTTGTAGTGGTTGTATAGGGTACTGCAAGTATCCCTAGTGGTTGTATAGGGTACTGCAAGTATCCCTATAGGTTGTAAAGGGTACTGCAAGTGTCCCTAGTGTTTGTATAGGGTACTGCAAGTATCCCTAATGGTTGTATAGGGTACTGCAAGTATCCCTAGTGGTTGTATAGGGTACTGCAAGTATCCCAAGTGGTTGTATAGGGTACTGCAAGTATCCCTAGTGGTTGTATAGGGTACTGCAAGTATCCCTAGTGGTTGTATAGGGTACTGCAAGTGTCCCAAGTGGTTGTATAGGGTACTGGAATGATCCCGCAGACAGGACGGCTGTCTAGAACTAGATAATGTCCAGATTTAGGAGTTGCTAGTTCAGTGGTAGAGTACATGCTTTATATGTATGATGTCCTGGTTTCAACCCACAGCTTCTCCCCAGGTCGCCGTTGCAAATGAGAATTTGTTCTCAATTGGCCTACCTGGTTAAATAAAGGCTGATTAAACTTGCAAAATTCACTTTATAATTTTTTCTTTTTTTAAATCTCTGATTGTCACTTTTTATCTAGTCTTCCTATATGAGGATTCAGCATTGTGCGTTGAAAAAATTTGGGGAGCAGTTATTCAAATATTTCAACCCAATTAATTTCACAAATAGGGTAATTTATTCTAATTTGTACAATCTGCCATAACATCTGATAAAATAAAGTAATTAAAGTAACAGGGTTGACATACAGTGGCAAGAAAAGGTATGTGATCCCCTTAGAGATGTGATCTGATAATCCTCATCTAGGTCACAACAACAGACAAGCACAATGTGCACAATTAAGCTGATAACATACAAAACATTTAATTGACCATGTCTTTATTGAACACCCTTAAAACATTCACAGAGCTGGAGGGAGATGTAAGTGCACCCACATACTTGTTACTTCCACGAAACTAATTGGAGTCTGTAGCTGGAGTCCAATACATGAGCACAATGGCAAACCAGGTTTGTTGACTGATGAAACAAAAGTTAAGTTGTGTGGGGAGAATACTCAGTGCCTTATATGGTGCTAAAAGGGCACAGTTTAACAACATCCAAATATCATCCCAACTGTGAAGTTTGGTGGAGGGAACATCAGCTGAAGCTTGGTTCAAGTTAGGTGATGCAGCAGAACAATCCCCTAAGCATCAACATAAATCCACTGGAAACTGGATACAGATAAAGAACATTTGGGGTGGCTCAGTCAGAGATTAGACCGTAAGTGAGCTGTTCACACAAGAAACCTACAAATGTGTCTTAGCTGAAGCAGTTTAGTAAAGAGGAATGGTCAAAAATTCCTCCTGAATGTTGTTCAGGTCTGATCCAGAACTACCAAAAGTCATTGCTGCCAAATGAGGTCCAACCAGTTAATAACTCCAACGCTTCACTTACTTGTTATTCCAGCAATGTGAATGTTTAAGGGGTTTGTTCAATAGACCCAAGAAATTAGAATTGTTTGTATGTTATCAGCTTAAGCACATTATGTTTGTCTATTGTTGTGACAGATGAGGATCAGATCACAATTTATGGGAACTTACTGCAGAAAACCAGATAATTCCGTGGGAGCAGAAGCATGTTGGTAGCCACACGGAGGAGCAATTGCTTAATGCAGAACCAATAGAAGTTGATTTTACAGTGTCTTTTTTATGGATCACCTAACACCATAAAATGTCTACCTTATGGAGCCAGCTCGTATCGCTTTTACAGTAATTTTTTGACAGAAAATGTGAATTAAATAAATGTAAATTCAGTGTCACTTGGGCTTCACAATGACCTCAAACCACTTTGTATTTCAACTACTGCATCTGAGGACGCAAAAGTCCATTTATTCACGAATAGATGCTTGACAGCCTGATGATTCGGTGCTGTTATCCGTCCTCAGAATGCCAGATGATTATCCTTTTTGACATGGTCCAGAATAGTGCCAGCATGCAGCGCCAGTCCAAGCGTGACGTGCGAAAGGAGTAAGTAACAAAGTTAGCTTCCTATGTGGATATCAAACACAGTACACCAAGCTTTTACCTTCACTGGCACATTCATTTTCTTTTAACCGTTTCTGTCTGTCTACATCTGCATTTCTGTTTTTAAATTTTATCTTTCACAGTTTCTTTCTTTTTATATTTCTCTCTTTTGTATTTAATTTTGCTCTAACGTTCTATCTATATTTGTGTTATTTTATTCTCTGTCCGGTAGCAGTGTACAGTGTCCCCTTGAGACAGCCCTGTTGCTCTCCATGAACAGTGTCCGCTGTGTTCTACTCAACCAGTGGCACAGCAGCCCCCAGAGGAACATACTGAACATGGACTCTGTTCTAGACCGTGAGTAGGACATACCACCGTAACCCAGGACTACGGTGTAAAACCACATCACATTACCACATGTCAAGTAGAAGACATTTTGCCAGGTTCATTTTAAGGCATGACATGTGTTGTGTAGCACATGAGTTCTCATGTGTTGCAGATCTCCTAAGGTTGGGCCTGACCTCTGGCCAGACCGTACAAGCCCTGAGGAAGGGAGATGTCCGGAGCTCACAGAGACATGCACATACTGCAGGATCTAAAGGTAGAGTTTATACCATTCATTATAATCTGGGGTCTTGGATTCTGATTCTGAGGGGGTGGTCTGTTCGGGTAGCAACAATACATTATGACATTGAGATGTATATGCGCTCCATTAGTTAATTAATTAATTTTTGCAGGTGGCATCCTGCAGGAATAATTACATTCATAGTGAGCCTCTAGGTGCATGGAAAATGTAATACTATTGTCTATGGTTATAATTTGAAAGACACGCCACATTGCTTGTGCTATCTGTATCATACTCACACTGCACTCTAGTCCTTGTGCTATCTGTATCATACTCTCACTGCACTCTAGTCCTTGTGCTACCTGTATCATACTCCCACTGCACTCTAGTCCTGGTGCTACCTGTATCATACTCCCACTGCACTCTAGTCCTGGTGCTACCTGTATCATACTCCCACTGCACTCTAGTCCTGGTGCTACCTGTATCATACTCCCACTGCACTCTAGTCCTGGTGCTACCTGTATCATACTCCCACTGCACTCTAGTCCTTGTGCTATCTGTATCATACTCCCACTGCACTCTAGTCCTGGTGCTACCTGTATCATACTCCCACTGCACTCTAGTCCTTTTGCTACCTGTATCATACTCTCACTGCACTCTAGTCCTTGTGCTACCTGTATCATACTCACACTGCACTCTAGTCCTGGTGATACCTGTATCATACTCTCACTGCACTCTAGTCCTTGTGCTACCTGTATCATACTCACACTGCACTCTAGTCCTTGTGCTACCTGTATCATACTCTCACTGCACTCTAGTCCTTGTGCTATCTGTATCATACTCTCAATGCACTCTAGTCCTTGTGCTATCTGTATCATACTCTCACTGCACTCTAGTCCTTGTGCTACCTGTATCATACTCACACTGCACTCTAGTCCTTTTGCTATCTGTATCATACTCTCACTGCACTCTAGTCCTTGTGCTATCTGTATCATACTCTCACTGCACTCTAGTCCTTGTGCTACCTGTATCATACTCCCACTGCACTCTAGTCCTTTTGCTACCCGTATCATACTCTCACTGCACTCTAGTCCTTGTGCTACCTGTATCATACTCCCACTGCACTCTAGTCCTTGTGCTATCTGTATCATACTCCCACTGCACTCTAGTCCTTGTGCTATCTGTATCATACTCTCACTGCACTCTAGTCCTTGTGCTACCTGTATCATACTCCCACTGCACTCTAGTCCTTTTGCTACCTGTATCATACTCTCACTGCACTCTAGTCCTGGTGCTACCTGTATCATACTCTCACTGCACTCTAGTCCTTGTGCTACCTGTATCATACTCACACTGCACTCTAGTCCTTTTGCTATCTGTATCATACTCTCACTGCACTCTAGTCCTTTTGCTATCTGTATCATACTCTCACTGCACTCTAGTCCTGGTGCTACCAGTATCATACTCTCACTGCACTCTAGTCTTTGTGCTGTATGTCATTGCCTTATTTCTGTCTTTTGTCTATAGATGCTGTAAGTCATGAAGATTCAGGAAATATATGTGGAAATGCACTTGATGCTTCAGCATTTAACTGTGTCATATATGGACTCCCTAATTTAGTTGTTACCTGATACCTCATAACATGTCATATTGGTCCAGATGTTTTATTTAAATAAACAGAGACATATATAATAATAACAAATGTATTCTTAAGGGGGTAAAATGACTAGCATATCCCCAAATGTACCATGCCAAAGTGAACCTAACCATAGGACAGTTGGCCGTTTTACTGCTTGGCGTCAGCGTAATAAACAAAACCTCGTCCACTTGTTTCAGCGTCTGTTTTTTTTCACCCAGCTGACTTATGCCATCTCATGTGTCTGGTACCAATGTTACGAATACGCTATGTTACAGAGGAATCCCTGAGGCAATCAATCAAAGTTCCAATAACATTCTGCAAACTCCAGGCACTTACGTTTGTTTTAGTGACAGCAGAGTATTTCTTCCTGTGCAACCCAATCAAATAAGTTGTTGTTGTCCAATTGTGTGTCCGGGTAAACTACACATGTGTCCTCTTTCTGACAGATTTATTACTGCTCCAGTTTTTTACATGTAATTATTGCCCTCATAATGAGAATGGGTTTTCTCAGACATGTAGCTCTAGTTGTATAGCCAATTGCCTGATTTGTGGAGGTCAAAACCTTTTGTCTCATTTCATGTGTGTGTTCTCTCAACCTTTACCATGTTGATGAATGACTAAAGGAGTGTCACCTTATTAATATACAGACATATTACAGGATGTCATGGATGTCCGTTCATGTATTTCCGAAAGATTCAGATGAACTCTAAAGTAACACAGACCTGCCAACATGTACGCATTTTGCGTACTCTGCACGCATTTAGACCCTTAAGTACGCTTGTATGATTTGCTTCTCTCTATGTACGCATTTTGTTTATGCATGACGTTGATTCTGCCGCTGAGCCACAGCGGGTAAAGTGGAGATTGAAAAGCTTTTCGGCAAATCAGAGAGCTGCATTTCCACCCTCTGCTCACCTGCCCCCTCCAATCCAAATGCTTCGCGGTCAATTCAGTTCGTCAAGCAAGTCAGGCTGGGCCGAGTGTACGGCTGGCCGGATAGCTGTAGGCTTACATCGGTCTCTATACATCCATGGCTTGCATGCCATGGCTGAACCGCCTAAAAAAAGTTTCAGAAACCACAAAATGTTTGTACAGCTATCGGGAGAGATGGCCTCACATACACATGTTAAGGCTACCTTACCATGCCTTCTGTTCTGTACCGTGTGCAAATCGGACATCAGTCACCAACGAGCAACAGGTTACGAACACAGTCCCACACACAAATACTCCCCCACCCCCGAAACAT